AGGAATGCCAACACCCCTTTTGTCCTTATCCCAGGAAGGCCAATGCTGCGTGCCCTATCTCTCAGGTGCAAAAGCCAGGAGCAGCCCAGAGCCCTTTGCCTGCAGTCCAGGAGTGAGTGCACCCCCCAAAGGCCCCCACCATTCTGGCCCCTGGTCCATCCTTTGTTCAAATGCCTGCAAAAGGACATCTCCCTAAGCAATGTTCTGGCTCTTTTTGCTTCTTGACAAATTTGAAATGCAACAGCAGCTGTGGGGTTGTATATACCTCTTGATCTTCTAGTCTCAACTGGAATACGGAAGCAGAGAGATAATGAAAATAATGCCCTTGCCCCCCGCCCCAAATGTTACATTTTCCTTTTTAAAACAGGAAGATAAAGGAGGGTAGACTTGGAGATACAGCAAAAAAACAATATTATCTCTTAAGTTGTCCATCGACACAGACCCTTATTTCAACAAAGAGAACACCAACAGAATTCTAGATCCATTATTAGATAGAATAATAATATAAATAATGAAATAACTTATCAGCTTTTCTCATCTGAAAATTTTCCTCCCTTGCAATCTAAAGTAGGAGTGAAAATGAGTGTATTTATCTCCAACAAAATGTCATTAACAACCAAAACTTTCAACCATTGAGATCTAACATCTGTGACATTTGCAGCACGTGTAACAAAGGCCCCAAATTAGTCACAGTAAAATCAACACAGAAAACGTGAACTGACATCATTGTCTCACCTTTATATCAGTTTCAAGATATGACAAGACACCAAAACAATTTTCCAATCATAAGAGTCAAAGTCATCTCAAGGTGGCATGGGGTAGCACTTGATATTGAACCACAATAAACTAATGGGGCATCCAACAAACCGTTGCAAGAGGTGTGAGAATTCTTCAGACCTGCAGACTAGACCAGATTTTGTCAGAACAGGGGGGACACCTATCACCACGCTATCTGAGCACCAACCATTAAGGCCAGCAAAACTTTCAGCAGGCTCAGGACACTAAATGAACTCATCAGGCCCCAAAGCACATTATTCACATATACAACCACTGTTTGTGCCAATAGCCATGCCATCTCAGGGGAATCCTGTAAGAAAATCTGAGATTCCACCTAAATCCAGGTGAAACATGCTTTCCTTTCAATCTTACATTCGTTCAACAAGAAACCTCAATTAAAGCCTCAGAGCTGCAAACCCAGCCAGTATAGAACTGGGAAAAGGTTGACACAAACCTGTATGAGCCACAATGGTCAAGGGGTTCAGTGCTTTTTCTAAACCAGCCTAGTCATTCTTAAAATAATCTACTGGCTGAACACAACTGCTGCCCAACAAAAATGGTGGGTAGCAAGTGCTCTGGAAAAGGTTCAGGAAAACCTCAGAATAAATAGCTTATCTGCCTGCAAAGAAATTTTATGTCAAAGTCAAGAATCTGGTGACTTGCTATTCCTGAACTGCAAACGTGAATGACAGTAAGGACAAGTGCATGGCTTTGGAAGATGATTTTCAACAGGTTTCTTAGATAATGATAAGCATCTGCTTGTGCTCAGGCTCTGGAGCCCCAGCTTCTTCAGACTTTCAGCAGTAATGTGAAGAGAAAAGTGGCCTGCTTCTTCAGAACACTGGTTTGTTATTAAAATAATATGGCCATTGCTGAGGGCAGACAGACATATAAACTCTGCTCTCTGGCCATGATTTATGCCTGCCTCAACTGACTCTTCCTATTTACGTCTGGGAGGTTTTTTGATATTTCTTTAACCTACTACCAAATCAGTATTATTTTCTTAAAGGTTAATATTAATCTCCCTTGATCTCAAAGTAACATTTCAAAGGACTGATTTTTTTTTTTTTTTTAAATTGTGAACCATCTGCCTTCTATATCAAAATAGTAAAATTAAGTGGCTCTAATTGTACAAAGTATCAAGGGCCAACACTGGTTTCTTATGAAGCCAGAAAGAGATTTTTTAAAGTAGCTTCAGAGTACAATGATATGAAAGAGCAATGTAGTTAAACATCAGTCCTCATCTTTAAGGATTTACTAGGGGCAAATTTTAGGGTGGAAGAGAGAATGAAGGAAACCTTGGAGGCAGTTTGAATCTCACCCCCACTGCCTGTCTCCCCCCAGCACCACATTTGGGTATTGAGCACTTAAAATGGAAAAATGAAGCCACAAAACCTAAGAAGGTGGGGAGAGCGCAAAACACAGCTGAGAATGACAACTGGCTGCAGCAACAAAGGAAGACGGACTCCTTCATCTAGTTAATTATAGCTTGTCCCGTGTTACTGGGCCCATGCTCTGGGGGTGTGCACGTGTGCGTGGGCAGGTGGGCGCTGCTGAATTGCTCTGCTAAGGCAGGCAGCCTCAGTATTTCCCTTTTAATGATGCTGCAGATGACTAGCCCAAAAGCTCTTAATGAATGGGAAAAGAGACTGCCAGGCAGCAGCAGCAGCAGCCCAGCTCTCCCCAGGGGCCAACCTGCCCACAGCAGATCCTTTCCTGGGTACCAGGCTCCATGACCCTTTCAAATAATAACAAGGCCAGCTGCAATGTGTGTCTGAGGCAGGGCATCGTGCCCTCTGGTCCAGGATATACATGTAAATCCTTTATGGCAGAGCTGAAGAAAGAAATCATGCAAACCAGGTATTCTTTCAAAATTAAAATAACATCTACTATAGAGAAGAGCACTCTGATGAATGATGGAATCTGCTGTTTACACCTTTCCTAATTTCCTTAAACTAGTAATTCCTTAAGAAACAGGCTTTTTTTTCTCTTCTGAGCCTCCTACCCCAGCTCCACCAGCAGTTCCCTTTTCTAGTTAGGGAGGAGAGCTGACAAGTCCCCCATCTCCCACATGGTCCTTCTTAAAATAAGCATCTTGAGGTTTTCTAAAACCCAAAGACCTAGGAAGACTCCCTAAGAGTCCCCATGTACCAAAAAGAGGGCATTCCAGCAGGGCCAAAGGATGGGACACAGAGGAAGAAGAAAGACCCTTGTCTTGAGAGATGTGAAGAATGGATGAAGAGGAAAAATCATTCTGGCACCTAGTTTCAGACCTTTTACCTGCTAGACAGGTCAGTTTTGCTAAGAGGATGACCTGATTCCTTGGCTGCTGGCATACATGGTGCCTGTTTTTTCTAACTGGGCAAAGCAGTAGTACAGGCTGGGGAGCAGTCATTTTTGTTTGATTCAACCATGATATGCACAACAGCCAAGGGCTCCTTGCAGACCCCAGCAGTGAGGCCAGCCGGGAGTGCAGTTTTGTTATTGTAGCCGGAGGCCCACTTCCAATCCAATTACACACAACAGCTGTGCTAGCTCCTCTTTCTCCCCTTTGCTTCCTCTGCTATGTAATTCCAGGATAGGTTTTGTCGTTATCAGGGCCAGTGAGTCAGGGTGAGTGGCACCTACTCTGAGCAATCAAAGGAATAAGATCATGAGGTAGAAGCCAAAGAGAAAGTAATTTACCCGAACATCTATGGGCAGAAACAGTGATCAAACCATACTGTCTCCTTTCCCCCATGGCAAAACCAGTATTCTGACACTGCACATGGCATATTCCTAGAAGCATTCACAGAGAGAGGTCTACAAACATGGTGGTGTTTGAAAGCATAAAAATAAACATGCAAGTGTTCGCAAAGATGGACACATGCAGAAGAGAACGTGTGCAGGCAGCAAGACCTGAGGGTGAATGCATTTTATGGCTGACCCATAAGAAGATGTGTATCACTGCAAATCAGAGCACCTGATCAAGCAGGTGCACAAGTTGGGAAAAGAGGCATGGAATGTTAGGCATGTAATAGAATTCTTCAGCTTGGAAAAGACATCTCTGACAATATATATGATAGAACTAAAAATCCCAAATAATACAATACAGGTGAACAGGGAATATGTTTTTTCCCTATTTGTCGGAACACAAGGAGTAGGAGCCCTGGACAAAATTCTCAAGTGACGGTGTAAAAACAAGCGAAAGAAAGTAATTTCCACATTTGGATGATTAAACAATGGGACTTGTTATCACAGGATACTGTGGAGTTAAAAAATGTAAGTGGGTTAAGACAAACAAAGACTGGATATGTCCAGAGAAAATACAGTCATTGATGGACGTATTGCAGGACCACGACCTGGATGCAGTATCAGGTCAGAAAGTCCTTAAAACAGTGAATACCAGAAACCACAGCGGTCTATCAGGACAACTTAGTTTCTTGAACTTCTTCCAAAGCATCTACTTTCATACAAAGACATTTCTGGGCTAGATGAATTCTTGCTCTGACCCCAGTGATCACTACTGCCAAATGGGTATGCATGGAGCTGAAAACCATTCACATTTCAGTGCAAGAGAATCTGATTTGGGGACAGTGTCTATACAAAGGGCATGCAAGAATGAAAACAACAGGGGCACCTATGAAGTAGAACATAAATCTGTACAAACTGGTTTCAAACACCTGTGTGAGTGGCACTGAAGATACAGCATGGGTGGATTCTTACTCTGACCTAGTACCTTCTGTAAATAGGAAACTTCAGATGAGTGAAAGACAATTCACACATTTTCATGCCCAAAAAGCAGAGTTCAGCTTCAAGAAGCAGAAGCCAGCATACAGGTACTGCTTAAATGACCCTATGACATGGAGTTAGGGAGAGAGACTAAAACAGCAGTGCTAAGATGAAGAACAGAAAGAAGCATTAAAAGATGGAGTTTGAAAGATTGAAGACCTGGATCAAAAAAGTACTAGTATGCTTGTGCCTTCAAGGATCTCTGTAATCTTACAAAGGAGTTGGTCAGGCAAACAAGGACAAATTTTTCCTCAGGGCCCCAAATAACTAGGTCATTTCTACTCAGTTGTGTTCATTCAGTTACATGCAAACTCTAGTCAGCAGTAAAATCATGACAGCAAAATGCCCAGAACTTCATCTCTTAACATCCGCCACATGAACATCTGAAGATCTCTCCCACAAAAGTGGGATGAATAGGAAAAGCACTATTGAAACTTTGACACCCCCCAGGTATCAGTACCAGTCACCATAATATCAAGGACTCATGTTTAGTTCCTTCTCCTGCATAAATTCTTCCACTAAAAAAGCCTAACTGAGACAGGAGCATATCACTTGCTCCTCAATCTACTGGTCTTTTCCTAACAATCTGTCTTCCAGAACCCAGACCACTGGCAAAGAGTAGAAGATGCAAAGGAAGGGGCAGCTATTGTGCAGAGGTGAGAGAGCCATCCATTCTGATCTGTGCTGCGCACCACTCCCCAGCCAAGGCACTTAACCTCTCTAATAACACTCTTAACCTCCGTAACAGTCAGCCCAAGATCTCTAAGCATGTTGTGAAGGTGAAGTAAGGCTATAGCCATAACCCCAAAGGGAAAACTGAAGTACTGATACTGAAAGGAGAAGTTATTTCTCCTCTACACAACACAGCAAGTCAGTGACCCAGCTGAGTACAGACAGCAAGAGTCCCAATTCCAGGTCCCTCCTCTAAATACTTGACTTTGCTGCTTGCAATGTGGTGGTCGTGTTTTATGACCAGGCACATAACATTTGCAGGGCAGCTGGGCTAACATCTGACAAAAGTCCTTTCATTTGTGAAATAAACCAGAGGGGATCTTCAGTTGGCTCTTAAAAGGAGTGTAGCAGCACACCAGTCCCTGTTGCTGGAGTACCCCTTCTTCACAAGCAGAGACCTTGCGGCCAGGGAAGGCTCATAGTACACATTTCCGTTCACTTTAAATGAGATCAACTTCTTTGCATCTTGCAGGAACTGAGCCCAGCAGAGCCCTGTGGTCCCCACTGCCGCCAGCCCCTGCCTATTCACAGTTACCTCCTCTTACTGGGGAATTAGTTCTCACCAGTCTATTCAACAATAAAAAAAATACTCAGTTATTCAATGGGCTCTTTACAGCACTTCTGCTGCCTGTGGGCAAACAGTTACCACTAGCTCATAAAATCCCTAATTTGTCTTGCAAACAGTGGATGGTTAAAGTAACCATTTTGACAGCGGCCTGGGCTTCTGTCCTCCCAATACAGATAACTGGATGGCCAAATAGGAAGAAAGCGAGAGGACATGGAAAAGAGCATTCACATGTGACTAGAAAACCATGAAGAAGCACAGAGCAGTCCTGAGAACAAGAACATGTGTATGAGCGATGGGGAGAATAAAAAATGCACAACCAAGCATATAAATTATGAGAATAAGAGGGCAGTGGGGCAGAAGAGCCCATTCAGAGAGCAGAAGGATGGATCGCTCCAGGGTGTCCACAGTAACAGCAGCATGGTCCTGTCCTGGTTGAGACACGTCTGCTTGGGCCCCTACTAGTGATGCCGATGTCCGCTGCACACTGTGCAGGCCTTGGAGATGGCCCTGATGTTGTTCAAGGCAACACTTGTTCATGGCATAATATCATGAGTTCTACTGGTAGAGCATAGCAAGGCCACACCTTCCCAATTCAACCATTCTCTTCTGCCACAGACACCAACAGCTTCAGGATGTGGCCGAGAGACCTGTGACCCTGAGCCCTTGGTGCATGTCCTGTCAGATCCTGCCAAGATGAGAGGAGACAGGAGTTCCTGGGCACCTCAGACTGGAGCAGAGAAGGTACGTGTTCAGCCCCATGGGTCACTGAAAAGATTCAATGTTATGGTTGACAGACCTTTTCTTTCCAATGCATGCCAGGCAACATTTGCCATTTGGCCACTTCCACCCCCATTGTTGCCAGCAGAGATGCGCACAGAATGCAAAGAACCTCAACAGAACAAAAAGGGGGCTGATGAGAGAAGCCAAAAGGCTAAATATGCAGGGAAATTACCCAACCGGCTGGCCCTCACTGTGTCTCTCTGAAGTGTTTCACAAAATCTGATTATCCAAGTGTAGAAAAGAAGCAAATTGAACAGAGAACTCATGCCAGGTCCAGGTCAAATTTAGCAAAAGTTACGCAGAAAGCTGAGAAGGAAAAGAGCCTCAACTCCCTCCCATTATCACACTCCAGCCAGGGCAATGCCAGCTGCTTCCCTGGGCTCTCATTTCCATTTCACATAACAATAAACTAGGTGAAGCTGCCTGAGAGCAAAGTAAAAATTAGTTTCTTAAGCTTCAGTGGCAACAGGATGTGGACCACAGCGTAAGGTGGCCTAGTTCGATTAACCCTTGTGGCTGAAGCTGGGGGACTTGCAGCAAGGAGAGAGCAATGTGAGGAGGGAGGTTTGAAGTTCTCTGCAGTGAAATACTTCCTTGTGGAAGAACTCCCCAAACAAACAGGCATATAAAACACATGCTCTTTTTTTCCTTTTAAATGAATCATTTGTGCCATGTTGGGAATTGAAGTTTTGAAATAAATAAGATCACACACTCACATTCAGCCAGAAAGGTACTCACTGGTTTATAAAACGTAAAATAAAACAACAACAAAAAAGGCCTGTTTTAGTGGAAATGAAACTCAACAGGTTATCAGTGGGACTAGCAAATGGAGTAGACTGCAGTAGGAAAAGGAAAATGACTGCACTAGATTTGTATGCCAGACCAGACACAGATATATCAGAAATAAACTGTATATAACGCAGTGTTCAATGCCAGGTAATTAGCAACACAAGCAACCATTTTTAACATCATTTTCATTCAGAAAACATCCCTTTAACTGACCAAAACAATGTAATCTCAGAAGAGAGAAGTTTGTGACCTTTGCTGCTATGAAGTCCTCCTTTTAGCAAAGACTTAGCAATCCAGACCCTGTGATGCCCAGTAACAAGGCTTTTTTTCCATACGCTCTCAGGAAGCAGTATGAGATTTCTGCCCCTGGTAACTGCCCACCACCACTCCTTAAAGAGCAGTGTTTCAGCTCAGCAAAAACAACACTTACCTGGAATATGATTGACATCTGTCGAGGTGTTTTCATGGCGAGCAGAAGGGACAAAAGGAAAAGAAAGAGAGAGAAGAGAGAAAAGCCATTAGAGATGCACACAGCAACTCAGCATCCTTGCATGGAAATCAATTTCATGCAAAACCAGAAGTAATTAGGTTTGTTTGAAGGCCACCCATCTGCAGCCAAGCACCCAGCCATGCAAGGGAGGAGACACTGGCTCCCTCTCCGCTGTGCATGTAGAAGTGAATCCACCATCATATCTGTCCGGAGGGAGAGTTCCTGGAATCAGATAGACCCAAGCCACATCAGTTCCTGTAAGAATATTGGTTAAAATATTCTACTGTTTTTCACACACAAATGCAAAAGAAAGAAACAAAAAACCAACCTGCCTGCAGTAGGTTTCTATTGCACATAAATTCAAGCAAGTTTTCAGAAAAAAGAAAATAACCTGCTCCCCTTTTACAAGGGGCCATGTGAATTTATGACCAGGTGCAAGACACACAGCATAGTCCCAAAGTCTAGAAGAGAGCCCATTCCTTTTCATTCCTTCTGCCCATCGTTCCCAAACCAACATCCTTCATTGCAGACAGCAGCAGGGGTGGGGGAGAAGGAGTGCCAGGGGCTTGCACGTCCCACATATTGTCTTTTACAAGATGCTGAATTCAGACCAAATGTCATTTGGTATTTTTTCTCTTTGTGACTGCTTTTCAGAATCAATCACATAAATCACAGAATAAATTAGTTCTTTAAAAAAAAGAGAGAAACAAAGCTATGTAAATGATAGTAATGATCACAGAAAAGGCGTATCTTTGAATGTGGTGTCTGTTTTGGGCAGACCCCACCAATCCCAGAGAATGTGCTTTAAAAAAATGCCTCTCATAACTTTTTTAGCATCCCAAGTTTAGCCTTGCTCTGAATAGCCACGCTTATCATAACACCATGAGGGAGGAACCCCTGAAATCTCATGGCATTAGAATAGATCAATATTTTCCTTCCACATCAGCCCTCCAAAGGAAAAAATGAACTTGCTTGAGGAAACAGCAGGCCCCGGTCCATAGGTAGCATTCTTCCCTGGAGGCTTGCACTTGCCCAGGAGTTGTGCTGCTGCAGGTACCATCTTTCCAGTAAGACTTCAAAGCAATACATTAACCGTTTGGACTACTCCAGGTCCCAGAACACTTCTGTCACAAGTCTAGGAGCATGACATGCTGGGTGCTTCAGCTACACACCAAGGTCTAACTATGTATTCTCCTTCCCCAACTATCCCCTCCAATTTCCATCAGTATTCCCCCTTCCTGTCCAAACCACCTGTGCTGCTGTGAAACCAGTGCCACTTGCCTTCCTGAGACACTTCTATTTCAGTGGTGAGTGAGTGATTCCTCTGTGTGTTGCTTTTTGTTTATCACTTTGTAATGGTTCCAGAATCATTTGAGGAAAAGTCCCTATGGTACAACACATATATCAAGCCATCCTTCTCTAAGGAGGTAATAACCCAAATAAAACAATGCACAAAGATGGGGGGGACTGTTACATCAACTCATTTAATTTCTGTAGCTTCTACTAAACATTTATGTCAGATCTGATGGATGTTATTTGTTGCCTTTCCTCTTTTAATGCATAATTGTTTCTAAGAACTGGTGTCTTGGCATGCAAGCCTGGAAGGACACTTCACACTGAAAGTTTGCCTGAAAGTAATTATTTTTAGGTAGGAAAAGAAAGCAAGTGTGAGGCAGCAATGCATGCACTAAGGATGGAAGGCAAAAAGAGGTGAGAGCAGGGGCAGAAGGAAGGAGCAGAACCATAAACACCACTGCAGAAGGCGAGCATGATGCCAAAGAATTTACAAGTCCACAGCTAGGACTTGAGGTCTTGTTTGGGAAAATCAGTGGCAGTCAGAGAAGATGACCACACGTTTCAGAAGAGGAGGAAGGGAGCCACCATAAGGTACTGCAAACGTTTCTGATAGTCCATCAGCTGTCCCAAAGCCTATTCTAAGCAGGTACAAAGCTCTAGACCCACGTTGTCCTCTCAGCCTCCCTGCACTCCTGACAAAGGAGCCCAGGCTACCTTGGGAGCCTGGGAACAGCAGGCAGCCTCACCAGGGCATCTGTGCTCCAGGAGGAAATCTGTGGGATGTTTAGGGAATAAAAAGGATCAGCAGACAGAAAGGGCAAAGGAAAGAGCTCACCAAGGGTGAGCAAGGGATAAACACATTAAGCAAATAAGAGGCAGTGGGCTGTAACTGATACACTGCTTGAAATAACACTTATTTAACTGTGCGTGAATTAAACAGGCCATGAAGCTGTTAAAAAGGGGAACAACGAAGTGTTAAGAGCTACACAAGCATCTCTAAAATGTAGTTTCTCAATGGCAAGTAACAAGGGGCAGAAAGCAAGGGGATTTCCTTTTACGATTATTTTTTGTTCTGACATCCCTAAGAGCAGGCATCCCCGACCGCAACTGGTTTTACTCTTAGCTTTCTTTCTGCTGTATCTTTGTTGGAAAGTCTCCACCCAGCACAATTTCTGTATACACTAGTTGCATTAGAAAAGTCACTGTTTGCTTCTCCGTGACACTTTTGCAGTATTTACCTGTGTGGCATCCCAGGTCATTAGCGTTACTTCCCATACTAAATACAAAAGGAGTTTCTTGTATTGCAGACACCCCCCCATGTGGTATCTGCTGGCAAATGCTGATTTTCCAATGGTGAAAGTACTTGGGTTTTATTTTAAAACACACATGAGAAAGCGCTACTTTCTCTATGAAGACAGAAATGGCATATAGCCAGTCAGTCCTCACAAAAGGCCCTACAATAAATACCACTGTGGCACACAACTGAAATTGCCATGCACGTCCTCACAGGAAACCCCATAACACCTCTGCAGTGTAGTGTGCCACTCCACCCTGGTGCACAATTAAAACTGTGGTTGCCTATATCGACCAAAGGGACCCTTAATAAGAAGCCTCTGATGCAGTCCCTTATGGCTGGTGACTCCACAATTAGAAGAAATCTAATGCCTCAAGAAAGGGAGAAGACAGAGATGGCGAACGCGTAGGGTGACCAGCTTTGGTGAGTTGAGTTGATTCTCCTTCAGACCCTGTCATCTGAGACGTTCTCAAATTCTCTTCATGTTTTTCTGGTTTGTTTTCAAAAGGACTGTTTAAAACATGTGCCCACTCTCTTCCTCTCCATCAGCACTACCTTCCTCCCCACACAGCGATCTCCTACCTGCCACAGGGACTGAGGAGGACAGCGTTCTCTGATTAAACAGGGAGCATGCAGAACCCATGGCTAACAAAAAGTCCAGTGACCATGGGACTTACTGCCACGCAGGTGGAGGCTTCTCCACTTTCTCCAGCTCAGAGCACTTCAAACACAGAAAGGTCTGCCTCTTAACAAAAGGCAAGGCAGAGTTTGCTTTATCCTATACACAAGAGTCCATTTACTGCTCCTTTGTAAAGGGCTGAGCAGCAAGCCGGTGCTGTTTGCTTTTGTTCTTTGATGCTAATAGCTGGGTTGAAAGAGGGATCAGCAGGGCCGCTGCCTTTGTCTGGTGCCGCCCCAGCCATCTGGGTGGGGTGGAAGGGGAAGAAGGAGGATGAAGGGGACTGGGAGGAACAAAGCAAACATTATTATAGCTCAGATCATTCCTGTGCTTGTAGAGAAAACAGCTGAGGTATTTTTAACTCTAACATTTTTAACAAGAAGTTTAGCGATAAGGGAAGGTGTCATGAGAGTGCTCTTCTCTCTCCAACTGGAAGACAAGGCCAGCACAGAATTTCCATGCACACCAGCCCTAGCAGTACACATCACCTCAACCTGAAAAGACCTGGGTTTGTTCCCATCTTCAAGGTCCATTCAATCTTGTCCCCTGCTTTGATGGGCTGTGGACACCTGTCTTGTGCCAGCTAAACTGAGAGCCACTGACTGAATTCGCACCTCACAAACCAGCTGTCAGGTGGGAGCACCCTAGGCTGAGTGGAAATAAGCACCTAGAAGTGAACGGCACTGTCTTGTACTATGAGTCCCTCAAGCTCTCTGGCCTCCCCCTCCGGGGCTCTCTGGTTACTCTCTCTCTGAACGCCAGTGTGTGGAGAGGACTGGAGAGCAGGCAGAAACTGGGGAGAGGAGGAGGGCAAAAGTTGTAACACGCAGAGGCATCTTTTTTGTCATGGGAGACCCACTTCCAAATAAGAGGAGATCCTGCCTTTAGACAGGAAGATTACCTTATTCTGAAGCTCATTCTGTTACCGACACCTAAAAAAAAAAATCTTTTCTAAAGCAGATTTGGCTCTCATCATGCTGCAAATACAGAAAATGGATCTAAGTACAATCTCACTGGCAGAAGCATGACTGGTTGGGAACTCTCAGTCACTTTGACTTACTGATATATATGAAAACAGTTCAGAGACCATAGATTGATGCATTTAAAGCAGGCTCTGAAATGATTCAAAAGATACGTGATGAGCCAGCCGGGGCTCCTGTGGTGTGGTAGTAAGAGATGATGGTGACTCAGAACTGGGTGATTTCCTCTTAACTGAGCTCTGGTGTAACATTTTAACAATATGATAAAGAGCTGCATTTTGGCTGAGCTGGAAACCCTTCAAATTGCAATGAACAAAGTCTTCATTAATTTGATACCTCATCAATCAAAGGGTTAATTCCAGATGCTGATCTGGCAAGTGGTCTCATTCCACCCTAACCTGGTCTGTTAAGGTAAAGGTAAACATATGGTCCTAGTTCAGCTCCTACGCCAAGCTGTTGGGGACCAGTGGTATTGGTACAAAACCGTCTCCTTGTCTTTCTCTTCAGGACACAGTGGTTCAAAGCCACCTGAGCGGCTTACAGCGACATAAAAAGAAATAGCATTTACACTGTATAAACAGCTTCTAACAACAATTTGCTTGGGTAAAGACGGACTCTGTAATAAGATCAATTCCAAGCATTAGCACAACACCCCTGTAGTGTCTATGCTCACACAGGAGATAGGCACCTTGAAGACTGTTGTATTTTT